AATGGTGTTGCAACCTTAGAGAAGTTGGGCTCAAACCTTTAAACTATAAAATGCATTTCTCACTAACCCAAATATTAATATAGGGAATAATTATTTTCCAATTCGTAAATAAATTAATTCATGGAATAAATCACCTCCTATCAGTTTTGGATGTAGTTTCAAGTAATACCTTTAATGCTAATAATATTCATTTCAAGTCAATTCATAAACATTTGATATAAAGAAAATGAAAGGGAGAAAGAAAATTTAATTTTGAATAGCAAATGCTACTGTTACGTCTCCGTTTGTTAATTGATTTTCCGTAACTTCGTTCCGACGAAACTTAAGCGACACAAGTCTTTACTTAATAAAACTGGTTTATTCTTTCCGAATATAACTCTGCGATACACTTAATCTCAATACTCGCGCTAAAACAACACTATAACGAACGAACGTTAACTTCAACAATACCCTGTGACTGCAGTTCAATTACTCACTCTCCCGCCAGACATTACATTCCCCTCTTTTATATACCAGCCTACCCTATATGTAGTAAGAACTAGAACATTCGCCAAAGTACATGATAGTTCTAGAAACGTTGCGTCACAGTAGTCATGTGACTCGATGACGCAACAGTATTCAATTTATAGGTTATGTATCGATTTTGAAAAGCTGTGACATAATCTTAAAAGATTACCGATCAATGGTCAAAATAATTTTGACTTTGAGTGTATCAAAACTCAAATTAATCGGATGGCCTTATATACTTTAATCTATACAACTCTAGTTAAAAAATCTAAGAAACTGAATGGAAACCACTAGAACAACTCAAAATTCAAACTAACTTATTCAACCTGACAGACGTTCTAGGATAGTAATTCTCTTGAATAACTGTAATTATACAAGTAAATTTGTAATGGCGCAAGTGATAATAGCAAATTTATGTTACTATAAAAGACCCAACTATACAAATTAAAACTAGTTTGCAAAGATATTTATTATAGCTACATAAAGATGGAATTTTTGGCTATGTTACTCATCAAAAATTAAGACAAACTCGGTATTTTATTTGGTTAGCAAACCAATAAGACTAATTGTGTCGAATGTCGGAACTATTGATTACAGTTTAGCTAAATGTCTAAATTATTTTACAAAATATTATTTTAACAAATAACTGATGGTTAATGACAATTTTTGGATTTGTTCACTTCATTAGAAAACAAAAATTCAACAAAATTGTACTTTATGCCAATCTAGACGTTAAGTCTTTATATATACTTTTAAAAACACCATAGATCTGATCGTTAACATAATTTTTAAAAAACATGGCGGTAGTGAAAGAAATCGAAAGGTGTATTTTAGTAAGGTATCGAGTATAGTCACAGAATAATCAAATTTATTATTTAACAACCAAATGTATGATAAAATCGATAGTATTGTCATAGGTTCACCGCTAGCACCCATTTTAGCAATCATATTATTTTCTTAATAAGAACAGTTACATTTAAGAAATATGAATGTATTAGTATGTCTATATTCACAAGAGGGCGCATTTAGTTAATGGGCAGATTTCAGTGGGATTTTTTTTTATGTGTAAAATGAACATTACTTATACGCCTAAGAGTGTGTTCAACAGTGGAGCTCTTCTGTAGTGGCTACATAAGATCGAGTTCTGAACGATCCGCTTTTCTCGGATTATACTAGAACAGCTACCGATCAAAACTCCTCAAACGATAACGGAATTATCTGCAAAGTTCCGGCAGGATCGGTTAGGTCTCGTTCATATCAGGAAATCGTTTTTGCTCAGTACAAAGCGCTCCCTAGTCCTATCATAGCGGCTTCTATAAGTTTCCTTTGATAGATATTTGGTTCTTGTTTTTTTTATATATATGATTGATTTAATATTAACAAAAGTTTATTTTTTGTTGTTTTCTTATCTGATCCACTTAGGCCCCAGCTTCCATTAATATAACCACAAATCCCAAAACTGCAAAAAAACAAAGTTTACACTTGAATGAAAACTGTAACATATCTAAAACTCAAGAGACAGCTGCGCTTATCTATATAAAATTTTGACTCTTTATGTACAAATATTATTACTTTGCTCTTATATTTTCGGTGTCTAAAATTAGATAGATATGACCCAAAAACTTAGACATGTTCAGTAATGTCATTCTGCATACTCTAACGAAATCTTTAACTTTTATATTCTGAAACGACACTTTCCGTGAACACAGCAATGAGAAGGAATTACGTAGGGCGAAATAAAATAATAACAAGGTACTACTCAACAATAATACAAATATTATGAAAAACGTGAGACTATTTGTCGGTTTGGAAGGATCTCTTTGACTATCTGGTTTAGGCGTTACTCAATTAT